CTTTCTGTACCTCTTTCCCTGACAAACATTTTAATAATAAATAATAGTAGTAGTAGTAGTAACTGACATTAACTGAGTACAATTTAGATGCCAGCAACTCTTGAAAAATATACATGACTCAGTATTTTATGCATGTTGTTTAAAACTTACACTTTTTTGATCTATTTGATCCCATATAGATCTTAAAAGAGCATCATGCTCAACACAGACATTCGTTACTAGTTAAGTAGACTGTTGTTGGGTTTAAAGGATATTCAAGGGATGTTTTTGGTTTAAGGTTTAAAGATAATCTCAGGGCAATTATTTCCAGGATTCCTCCAGCCTCCAAGTCTCCAGGAATTCTGGATGCCATGAGAATTTGAAATTCTGTCTCACATTTCTCCCCTTTTGATCAGGATTCTTCTATAGAATCTTTGATCACGATGCTCACTATGAGTAGCCAGGCACCATCCAATTCTCCAAATGCAAAGGAGGCATTTGTTCATGGAAGCAATTAGCCACACATTGCATGGAAACTCTGGTAGTGTAGTGCCTAAGGCACTTGACTGCTAACCAGAAGGCTGGCGGTTCAAACCCACCAGCCCCTCCATGAAAGGAAGACTGGGCAATCTACTTCCATAAAGATTTACCGCTTCAGAAACCCAATGGGGGTTGCTAAGAATCCCGATTCTCTTTCCTTCCCTGTTGGCCCAGGTGAATGAGACCAATCGTTGCGCCTTGGATGACCACCTGACAGCTTTTAAGAGCCCACGTGCTATGCAGTAAACTAATAACAAAACTAATAACATGTTATTAGACAGGTAAACTGAGATGTCCTGTGAAACCGTGACCTTAAACCTCCAGATCCCATGAGGTGTTAGTTTATACATAAGCACCTTAGCAGTAACTTGAAAGATTGGATAGATGCCTTCCTGGACAGTGAGTTTATGTTAATGGGGAAGGAGGAACTCAAAAAGGAGGGTGAGTATGGTTGCATGACTTGAAGAATATTATCAATGTCACTGAAAGTTCATATAGAAACTGTTAAATTTGCGTGTATTTTGCCATGTGTAGTCTGACCAGCAACAACAATAAAATAGAATAAATAATTTTCAAAAATTATATGCTTTTATACATTAGATTAAGAACTCTGGTAGTGTAGCGGTTGAGATATTTGGAAGCTAATCAAAAGGTTGGTGATTACCTCAGTCTTCAGTATGGATTACATCTCAACAAAAAGAAACAAAAATCCTCACAACCACAACATCATGATAAATGGAGAAAAGATTGCATTTGGCAGGGATTTCATTTTTCTTGGATCCACAGTCAACCCCCATGGAAGCAGCAGTCAGGAAATGAGACGTCTCACTGTACTGGGCAAATCTGCTGCTAACAACCGCTTCAAAGTGTTTAGGATCAAAGATATCACTTTGAAGGCTAAGGTGTGCCTGACCCAAACCATAGTATTTTCAGTCACTTCAGATGCATGTGAGAGCCGAACAATGAACAAGGAAGAGCGAAGAAGATGCCTTTGAATTGTGGTGTTGGGGAAGAGTACTAAAAGTACCATGGACTTCCAGAAGAATGAACAAGTCTGTCCTGGAGGAAGTGCAGCCAGAATGGTCCTTGAAAACAAGAGTGGCCAGACTTTGTCTCACCTGCTTTGGTCATGTTGTCAGAAGGGACCATTCCCTGGAGAAGGATATCATGTTTGGTAAGGTGAAGGGTCAGTGAAGGGGAAGCCCCTCAAGAAGATGGGGTGACAACAGTGGCTGCAACGATGGGCTCAGGTATAGCAGAGATTGTGAGGCTGCCACAGGACTGAGCAGTGTTTCATTGTGTTGTATATAGGGTCACCATGAGTCAGAGCCAACTCGATAGCATCTAACAAGAGTAACAAGAAATCATTAGGCCAGTTAAGTGGGATGGATGTCCCATGAAACCATGACCCTGAACCTCCCAATCAAGGAACCAAATAACATAAGGTGTTGAAGTACACATAAGCAGCCTCAGCAGTAACTTGAGAGATTGGGTAGGTGCCTTCCTGGGCAGTGAGTTTATCCTAATGGGGAAGGAGGAACTCAGAAAGGAGGGTGCGAATGGTTGCATGGTCGCACAACTCAAAGAATGTTATCAGTGTAACAAAAGGTACCTGTAGAAACTGTGAATTGGTGTGTGTTTTGCTGTGTATAGCCCCAACAGCAACAGCAAAATAGAATAAATTATTTTTTAAAAATTCTATGCTTTTGTACATCTGACGTGCTTCTGTAAGTAACTTTTCATACAAATGACTTATGTTAGAGCTATTATAAGCAAGTTTCCTATCAGTAGTAAGAAATCGTTCTGGATGTTTTCCTTTTAGAAGCGTGCCTATCTATATATTGTGTGTCTGTAACTTAAAGCTTCCTGGCAGTGACAGTGCCCCTCACCCTCTGAAGTGTATCTAGCTCCTTTCTGAAAGGCACGCTTTGCATGTACGTATACTCTGTGCTGCAGTTTCTCCTTGCAGCCAGTTTGTTCATTCTCCTTCTTCCCCACTTTCTTGTTTTCAGGCCACTTTGATCAAAGTGAGCCCACCTCCTTCCTTCCTCTGAGCACTAAATTATTTATTGTCATTGGAGTTTCTCAGCCACCCATGTGACAGTTAAAGAGAGAAAGCACCGGGAAGAGTGTCTAGCCATCTTGAAATTGAACATTCCAGTAGCGATTCTAGTTTATTAGGGACACATTGCAGGAAGTGAAGACAGCAACAGTGAGTTGATTACTGATTAGAACATGCCTTACCCTCCGGTTGCTAGACCTCTGAAATGCCAAGAACACCAAGAGACCTTTCCCAACCACCTAAAATGGCACCAGTCATCTGGCCTCTCTGTCAGAATGCCTCCTTTGCTTACAGTCTGTACCGGTGTTAGGACCTTATGTGTTCACTTGTTTAGTAATGGCTGTCGTCACTGAATGAAAGCTCCAGGAGGGTGGGACCACGTTTGTGTGGGTCACTCTTTTATCTCAGGAGCCAGCACAGCACCTCACGTGTGGTGGGGCAGTAAATGTTCATCAGATGACTGCTTGGCATCGCATAGTGGTTTACTTGTGAAGTACGGAGACAGTAGGTAAGAGTGAAAGCAAATGGTGAGTGGCTTCAGTTTAAGAAATGAAAAAGTGTACCATTGCTCTAGGTATCAATTTTCTGATAAGTTTCTCACCACCTCATTTTGCAGATGGAAATATTCCAGGCACAAAGGCTTTGGGCCCCATGGAAGATGGGTATCACCATTATAGTGTAATAATCACAATAGGAAAGAGGAGAGAAAAGGAAACGGTAGGCTAAAGTAACACAGTCTAAACCCTTTACAAATGGGAGAAAATTCCCTCAGTAGCTCATTCCAAAAATAGACTCTATCTGATATAAAATCATTGCTCTGACGATTGCCTTGAAGCCATACATTAGCTCAGAGATAACAGCGTTGCTCCAAATGTGTCAGCATTTAAAGTCTGCCTTATTGGAATTCTCCCTAATTTATTGTAATCTAATAATCATAGAACACATTATTTGTATTTGACACAGAGTTATGTTTCTATCATGCACATTCATCCCGCTATCTAACAAGGAATAATTGTTTGGGTAACATTGCTACAGAGTACAATGTTTATTCATGTGCACTTGGTGAGCGAATTCCTTAAATGCACAGTAACAGGATGTGAGAGAGGCTAACCTCCCAATTGTCGAGAAATAGCTGCATAAAGTAGATGAAATTATTTATTTGTGGGGGAGGGGTGCATATAAATGGTTCACATTAAATATGATGGATAATCGAAAAAAAAATGCGTATTTGGGCGTACAAGTGGCTGTAATAAGTTTGCCAAATGAAACGAGATGAGTAAACCATAATGTCATTCTGTTGACTGCAAGAAGTCAGCTAACCACTTGAAGAATAGCTTCATATTTTACTGGGTTTCCCTAACCTCTTCATTTATTACACAAATGCACTTTCAAGGGTAATTACTTTTTTTTTCTTTCTTTCCTTTTTTTTCTTTAAAATAATCTTTGACTTGCAAAGTGTAGAAAACACTGCTAGGCTATCTGAGTATTATCAGTTCTCTTTGTGTCTCTTGTTCAGGGCACAACTGATTTTGACTGATGCACTGGTATAACATGACATCTTTTTTCAGATGAACTGAATGGAAGTGATCTTGACAATGAGGAGATAAGACACCATCAGGAAGCTGAGAAAACACATCAGTGTCACAGCTATGACACACGGGCAGCCGAACAGACCTTATAATATTAAATCAGTGTCTTTCAGGCATTGCCCTTGAAAGACAGAGAATAGCTTTGTCCTTATGTACTGTCCCTTGTTGTTGCTGTTGTTATATGCCATCGAGTCGGACTCGACTCATAGCGACCCTTCCTTGGGTTTCCGAGGCAGTATCACTACGGAAGTAGATTGTCCCATCTTCCTTCCGAGGAGTGGCTGGTGGGTTTGAACCGCCAGCCTTCTGGTTAGCAGCCAAATGCCTTAGGCACTACACTACCAGAGCTCCTACTGTCCTTAGTCCAAGTAAAATAAAATAGAACCCACAGGTTAGTGTAGTATGTACTCAAAGCAACATTTGATAGGTCTAAAGTGTGTGTGTGCGTTTGTGTGTGGACTTCTTTTATGTACAGTTTGTACAAAAGAAGCCGTGGTGGCACAGCGGTTAAGCACTTGGATGTTAACTGGAAAAGGTTGGCATTTCAAACCCACCAGGGGCTCGATGGGAGGAAGATGTGGCAGTCTGCTTCTGTAAAGATCACAGCCTTGGAAACCCTATCGGGAAGTTCTGTCTTGTCCTCTAGGGGCGCTGTGAGTTGGAATCGACCTTGTGGCAGTGGATTTGGTTTTCCCTTATAATGACTGGGCCAGAGCTGAACTGTCTGCACATGGGTGTGGGATGTGTCACGTTTTCCAGACATGTATTCCAAATGCTTTACTGAAAGGATATTTATCTTTGGAATGACTTTTTAATGTCTTTGTTTCTAGGATCAGAGGTGGTTGACCTTGATGGAAAAAGTTCCTTTCTCTATAGATTCGATAAAAAATCCATGAGCCCAATAAAAGATGTTATTTCTTTGAAATTTAAAACCATGCAGAGTGATGGGATTCTACTCCACAGAGAAGGGCAAAATGGAGATCACATCACACTGGAATTAAGAAGAGGGAGGCTCTATTTACTTATTAATTCAGGTAAAACTATTGGGTGTGATGTTTGGAAATCTGACTAATTGGATGTCATTTAGATCAGTCTGCACTTTTATAGCTTAATTTTAACAGTTATGATATGTTATTTTTAGATTCTGGAACTTGTGTATATGTGTGTGTATAATAATATTTTACCTTCATGTGAAAATGACTCATATCTTGCAAATCGGGCAAGACCCTCATTCAGTGCTTTTACATAGCACCAATATAACTACACAGCCATTTTCCATTTTCTGATATCATAAAAAATGGGATGGGTCATTGAAAAATATGGAGGTAGTAAAAATAATGAGGTTGTAACAAAGATAAAATTTACATAGAAAATGAGCATGCAATGAGTAATATTAATAAAATGAATTAACAGTGGAAGAAATTACAACAAGGTCAAAAGGATATTTTACCCAAGCCTCAGATAAAACCATATAGTATTTGGGATGGAACATGTGGAGGGACATCGCAATTATTCTGAGATATGCTGGCTTACAAAAAGGGAACTTTTTCTTTCTTTCTTTTTTTCACACTGGGAATCATGGTGCTTTTATTTTTTTCCTCTTCTAAGGTGACACTCAGCTGCCTTCCACTGAGAGCCTGGTCAGTCTCACCCTGGGCAGCCTTCTGGATGACCAGCACTGGCACTCAGTGCTCATCCAACGCTTGGGCAAGCAAGTCAACTTCACGGTAGATGAGCACACGCGTCGTTTCCATGCACAGGGAGAATTCAGTTACCTGGACCTTGATTATGAGGTGTGATGACTGCATTTCAATTAATACAGATTTCATAATGTGTGTGAGATATGTAAGAAGCCCCTGTGGCACAGTGGGTAAGCGCTCAGCTACTAACCAAGAGGTTGGTTGTTCAAACTCTCTGGCAACTCCATGGGAGAAAGATGTGGCATTCTGCTCCTGTGAAGATTAGAGTTGGAAACCCTATAAAGCAGTTCTACTTTGTTCTGTAGGGTTGCTGTGAACTGGAATCAGTTTAATAGTATTGAGGGTTTTTTTTGGAGGGGGGCTTTTATGTAATATAACCTCCTCAAAGACAATATACTATAGAAAACTCCCCTTTCAGAATAAATAGTTCTTGTGCAGTGTTTCCCAAGGTGGAAATGAGAAAACCCATTAAGAATAGCAGGTGTGGTCACAACTACTGCTGAGACTTCATCTTCCTCACAATATGCTAACTTGTTATATCAAGAGCATCTTTCTGCCCGTGATGTGTAGTCACATCCTCCCACCTGTAGGAAAATCTTTCCATGAGGAGATCTCATTACCACAAGTCAATAGAGGATACATTGTATGATATCTCTGTGCCAAAGGGCACCCCAACCAGTGCAGATTTATAGGGAGAAATTAGGCACAAGCAAATTGATGAGTTAAGTAACAATCAATTCAAATGCACAAATATGAATGTATGTCAGAAATGCATATGAAGTAAAATGCCACTATAACTGGTTTCCATTACTAAACAGATCAAGATTGGCTGTGGGCCGAAAGATGTATTTTTCCTTCAACCAATAGAAATATCGAAACCTAGTATGATTAGCAGCCTGTAAGGATAATAACACTGTAGTGTAAATGAAAACTGAGTGCATATAAATTTGTTTTGAGTTCTGTGTCTTAATTAATTGATTTTCAAAATCCCATTTGAAATTAGCAATATGACAGTGCAGAGTGATGAAGGATTGATCGATCTGTGATGATTACAGTTATACTTGCTAATCACAAATATTTAAGCAGATTTTCAGAAAATCACTAAACAATATTATTGATGCCATTTTTCTTTCTAAGATCAGCTTTGGAGGGATTCCAGCACCTGGAAAATCGGTGTCGTTCCCACAGAACAATTTTCACGGGTGTTTGGAGAATCTCTATTATAATGGAGTGGATATCATTGATTTGGCCAAGAGACACAAACCACAGATCATCGCTCTGGTAAGAGTCTCCGTGGGAGGCGATGGGTGCACATCTGGTGTGCCTGCAGTCAGTGCTCCATATTGAATCCCCACTTGTGATTATTTAGAGATTGCTTATTCTTTTAAATTTTTTCTCTGAGTGGCAGTATGCCTATAAGGGATTAATTCTGTCTAAAAAAAAAAAAATGATAATTCAGAGGGCGTGATTATTTTTATATGAAAGAAACCAGTTTTCTATTATGCAGTTGATATCTTACTTTTGTTGGGATAATACTGAACTCAGGAGGCAAATTTATTCTGGGCTGTAATTTCCCTAACAAGATATTCCCTGAGAAACTCACCAGATGAGCATACCAAGTTCTTGGAATGAGATAATATCCATGCATATTAGACAGAATTGGAAAACCGTGTATTTTGCCACGGTCATTCATCTCAAACATAAGAAACTAATAAGCTGCTACAACACTGCATCTGCCAACCTGCCCAGATAGCTGTATTGGTCAGGCCGCATTATATTCCACTTGTATGGAGATGTGGCAGAATTTAAATACAACTCTTGGTTAGCGTTCTCTCGTGGAAGCAGCGGCCACTGTGGGGGTTATAAAACCAAGGCTATGTTATATGACGTGGATCTTAACAAAGTCCCTGGGTGGCATTCGTCTGCTAACTGAAAGGGTGCAGGTCCAGGCCACCCAGAGGCACCTCGGACAAAGGGCCCCGTGATGTGCTTCTGAAAAGTCAGCCATTGAAAACCCAGTGGGGCCCAGAGCTACCCTGACACGTATGGGGGTTGCCAGGAGTCAGAACTGACTCAGTGACAACTGCCCTGTTTTTTGTTTTCATCATTTGGCTCTTAACAGTTGTCCGAGGATCTGAGGAAGTTGAGGGGACATACGAATAGTATCTGCTTCTGCCAGAAGCAATGGTGTGTGTAGACATATCAGAGCTGGTGGGGCATCGGTGATGCCAAGCGTTTTCAGCCCACGAAGGAAGTTCTTGAAAGCCTCTGGCAACTGCCCCTTCTGGAGAAGTAGCACCACTGTGGGCCCCTGGCCACACCCCCGGTGGTGAGCCTGGGCTTTCTGTGGTCAGCAGGACCAATGGTCAGGAAGAAAAGATGGCGCAAAGTGGGGCAATGCAGGAACAGCTGGAGAAAGGCAGTACCTCAGAGCCCGTCCTACATAGCACATGGCCACAGAGAGACCTCGGGAGACTGGCGGCCAGAGTGCCACCCTGCCTCCCAAGTAGCATGCAAACCCTCCTTTGGCTAACTTTTACCCAGATTGCTTGAGAGTGGAGTTCTGGGGCCCATGGTTTCCAGCCCAGCCAGCTTGACAACAGAAAAGCCGACACCTGTATCTGCTCGAATAAATTTCTTTTGATGTTTAAATTCAAAATATGTAAATTTAAGGTCCTGTTGTTTCAACAAATCCCAAAGCACATTATGAGAAAATGTATTGTTTACAGAGCATTTATTCCAAATTCCATGTGTGAATTGATAGTGTTTTTATGAGCAAACATCCAGCAAGATTTTAAAATAGTTACTTTTTTGTTTAAAAGGGAGAATGATTTGAAAGGAACATATAAATATTATAAAGAAGTGTGTGAGCGTGTATGTGTGTGAGTTGCATTAGCAAATGGTTTCTGGAAATGGCTTATGCAGCTCACACCCATTCTTCCTTGTTAGGGGGCTGTGCAGCTTTGTAGGGCAGCCAGCAGCTGTCCAAATGAAGCATAAGTCCAAACTGCAGCTACTAAAATGTTTCCATTTTCACAGGGTTTGATAGTCTTAAAATTGCCTTTACATTATGGGTCAGTGCAGTTTATTCTTCAGCTTTTGTTATTTCCTTCATGGGGACAAGATACGTGTTTACAGTGAAAGCAAGCTCACCCTTAGCAGAATCACAAGCTAGCCAAATGTTCTTGTTTGACCAAGACCAAATGTTTTAGTGCCAACGTGTATTCTTCTACATAGACTTGATTTCATTGTGTTTTCAAATTTCTATTTAGAAAGTTTGTTAAAGCTTATTTAAATAAAAACTGAAAGCACTTGTCTTCCTTCCTGAAGCATGATGTTGTTGTTGTTGTTGTTGTTATATGCCGTCGAGTCGGCCCCGACTCATAGCGACCCCTCCTTGGGTTTCCGAGGCAGTATCACTACGGAAGTAGGATTGCCCAACCCTCAAGTACGATAAGGAACATATTTAATTACTGCAAAGTCATTCCCACCTTAAAGTTAATTGAAATCCTTCAATATCTATCTTGCTTCAGTAGTGGACTATTTTTCCATACACACTATTTTGCTGGCAGACTTCATACAGTTCCAGTGTTTTGAACATTTATTGCAAAGCCATTACATCATGAATAAATATGTGTAAATCTGATCTGAAAGGACAAAGTGATAAGAAGACAAAAGTCTTCAAAAAGGAAAAGGAAAGAAAATGGACAAATGGACAGAGAGACCAGAGCTTGCATAGAAACGCAAGTCCAGATGAGCAACAAACCTATGAAAATGCTCAAATTCACTAGTCGTCAGGTAACCACAGGTAACTACAAATGAGATATCAACCTGGTATTTTGTCACTGAACCACTGAAAATGTAAAAGCTTTGTGATACTGGTTTCTGGCAAGGTTGACAGAAAAGGATGCCCTCCTGTATGACTGGTGGTAATGTACAGTATCTCCATCTTTAAAAAGAAAGAAAATCTGAGAGTGCTTCTTAAGACCTATGGGTACAATAGCTCTGGGTCTAAGACCCTCTTCCATAAAAGTAAAATGATCATTACACAGAGAAACATGCAGAGTGTTTATTGCAACTTTGTGGTAGAGACAAAATCTGGAAATTGAGTGAATGCCACTCATCAGGGAAAGAATAGAGTGAAAATGAGATCATGCCCAGGAGAGAATATTACTCAGCAATAAAAAGCGTGGGTCAGGGTAATGCCGGGTAACCCGAAGAGATTACCATAGGCTACTGCTTAGTGAAGAATGTATGATACAATAAAGTGCCTGGAGCAGGGACCCTGTTTCAGTCATCCAGGTAATGCCAAAGCTGTAGGTAAGTGCATTCGTGCATACATCCATGTGTATGGGTAATAACTGAAAGTGTGTACTGTGCATCGATTCAATGAGAGTGGAGAAAAATACAGACAGCCAGTCACTCGTTCATTAATATTGGTTGCTTGGGCAAGTTGGAAGGCAGACGCTGCAAAGTGGGTGAGATGAGCAGGAAGGGAGAGCCAGGTGGAACATTCCAAAATGAGTTAGCTGAAATAAATTTCTCTCAGATTCAGTTACCCTGAGCTAGATGCCTTTATTAAATTGAGAAAATGGGAAAATGGGAGCAAAGAATTTCACCCGAACGCCCAGGGAAGGGTGTGCCTGAGCATCATAGCGCTGGGTTTGAAGGCTCTTGGAGATGAATGCTGTTTTCATGTCGACAGCAATTTCTGTTGTTTTAAAGTGAGGAGGTGTGAGGGATAAGCAGCTTTGTGAAGATTCCTAAGCCTGTTCCGAATGCCGTGGGAGCGTCACTCTGAGTGCTTCTTGTGCTTTCTTTTCAGGGCAACGTGTCATTTTCTTGTTCACAACCGCAGTCAGTGCCCGTGACTTTTCTGAGCTCCCGGAGTTACTTAGCGCTTCCAGGCACTTCCGGAGAGGATGAGGTTTCTGCCGCTTTTCAGTTTCGAACTTGGAATAAGGCAGGACTTTTGCTATTCACTGACCTTCACCTTGTCCCAGGAAGTCTCCTCCTCTTTCTTCATGATGGAAAACTTAGACTGAACCTCTTCCCGCCAGGAAGATTACCCAGTGACATCACAGCAGGTAATAAACGTCTCCCCACAGGCAAAGCGTACGGATTTGTTAGATTTCATAATCACTGTGTCCCTTCTCCACGTCTTAGACTGAACCAAAAAATTAATATTTGTTTAATAAATGAATACTTGAGTTAATAAGATGATCATTGGCCTTCCTTAGAGGAACTTGATTCTTACTTTCTTTTAAGTGTGGCTCCACTGCTGACAGTTCCCATTAACCAAAACCATGTTATGGGGTCTGAAAGCAATTCTGACACCAGTGGCTTTGCAGTTCCTGTGACCTGACTACCCGGAGTCAGGTCAGTTCTCAGTCATGAAGGGCACAGTACTCCAGACTGCCAGCTCTGCCCAAGACTTCAGATACCAGCCCACAAGTTCGGGGGGTCACCTGAAGACCAACTATCTACAAATCCAGGGGTTACCACTAACCCCTGTTAAAAATAAAATTTCTACAAGACTAAATTTGTGTACAAACTCCTAGGCTTGGTTTGCAGTTTGTGAATTGGCAGGTGCCTGGTCTGAAGGTCAGACAAGAGCTTTGAAGAGCGGTACAAAGCCGAAGGGTGTTTTGGTCATGGGCACTCAGGAGCAAGTGAGCTCTGCTGGCAATTTCAGATTTACTGGCCGACACTTCCTTGCCTTATTTGTGATGAAGGAGATATTTTGAGCTAGGCTAAGCTGAACAGGCAAATCTTAATTGGTTGGCTTAGGTTTTGGCTTTTGGGAAGGTTGCGCATTTACAGGAAATAGTCTGAGGTTTTGGTTTGGTGATGTGGCGCTTAGCGTTAAGTTACCGTTGAGTGCATTCTGACTCATGGTGTCCCATGTGTTACAGAGTGGAAATGCTCCATTGGGTTTTACTGGTTCTAATCTTAACAGAAGTGAATCACCAGGCCTTCCGTCAGCAGCACTAATGGGTGGGTGCGAACCGCCAACCTTTAGATTAGCTGTTGTGCACAGGCCATCCACACCACCCAGGACCTTTTGCTTTCTGTTAAGTTCATTCATTTCAGATTTTTCTGGTGGCCTGTATGTATGGCTACGATTTGGATTCTCATTTGAACTGGTGGTTCCCTTAATAAATAACGAGTTAAAGTATTGGATACACGTTCTTTTTATATTCTAAGATAGTCATAATTTTTCTTAAAAATATCCTTGTATTTGTAACACTTGAAAGATCACTTCTAGTCCATTTCCTGAGACAGAGCATTAAACCACAGTTGATATTCCTTTCGTTGGACTCTCTTTCCATTATTCTGAGCCCTTGGGAGGTCCCACATATTTGGGTGTTTGTCTCTCGTTGTCACTTACTGTCCTGCTACGTGCCTAAGGAGATCAGACAGGATACGTATTCTGCAGATGATAGATGCTTGCCGGGTCGTTCAGTTACCATGACACACACCGGCAGAGGCAGGGATGTCTTTCTCCTTGGCTGACTGTATGGCTCAGGTTCAGTTCTAAGTGGGGAGAGCCTGGTAGAAAAGGCAGAACAGGATTTGACTCCTAATTCTTCTTTCTTTAGTTTTATGCCTTTGAACGGATGACTTCACGTTTCTAGGTTCAGTTGTTTCCTTTGGAAGGTGGGGATAGTATTGGCTACGTTGAACAGTATGGAGGAGGTGGCACTTTTTGGCAGCAGAGTCCTCCTCTTCTCTCTGTGCCTTTTCTCTTCCACCCTCTCCAGTCCCTTGAAAAATAATCTGTCTTTTTTATTTGTTGTTAATTGTTTGGGGGCATGTTTCATAATCTTGTTAATTTGGGCTCAGATCACCAATTGGCCTTCTTGAGTAATGACAGATGGTAACCAATCTGTTTTGAATGAGGTGGAAGGAAGTAGGGGAGGTGGGGGATCCCCAAGTGCTTTTATTTTACCGGCTGGATTTGTAAATCGAGGACCAGAACTTCCATTTAGTTGATTTTATTTTCAAGGTAAGAATTCAAGTTGAATATATCAGGACAAAGGAAGGAAGGAGGAGCTGTGCATTCCCGAGACCCAGAGAGAGCTGAGAACGGAGAGGTCTTGGCGCAATCTCTATCTCTGTATCAGCGGGCAGCGTGATACCTAAATATTTTGTCAGATTAACTTGCTAGTGTATTTTGTGCAGAGCTGGATACATTTCAGGGCTCGCAAAGATTGTGCAGGGTGCATCCATGTGGGCACCAGATGGAATTCTTTCCACTTCCAGGCTGCACACAGTATTGCTGTGATACTTACAAGTAATAAAATTAAGGTGACTGTATTAGTGTCTGGGAAATTAGCATCCAATTTAGGTCAGTGCTTTGGGTGAGGGCTACTTTTTTGTCTTCATTAAAATGATATAGCTCTTGCCAGGGGATCTTCATCACATTTTCACGTACACAGAACATCAAAGCCAAACAACTAGAGGTCACATTGGGATAAATAGTTCCATTAACTTAATAAATGATCTTTAAAAACAATTTAAAGTTGCCATTGTAACTACTCTCTACATTAACTATGACAAAATTCATAGAATATGACTGGAAGAGGGGAATAAAAAAGTTAAAATATGGGTGGAAATTATAAGAAAAGTCTACAGATGAATACACAAGTCTGTTATTTGCATATCGTTTTGCTATTGTTCATCTGTAACTGCAGATTGGAGGTAAGAGCTGGAAGTTCAATCAACATCATCATCATTTTTCTCGGAGGTTCTATGCTGTGACTTTTTATGTAATGCTCAAAATGTGATAGATTTGCATGCTGGAGAGGAAATAAATTAATCACTGTCATATTAATAATTAATAGGCTCCCTAAAACTATGGTCTAAGCTTGCCATTAATGCGCAGTTTATTGTGATGTATTTGACATCCTCTGAAACGGTTATATTCATAGGCCAGTTTCCAACTTCTTAAAGAAACTGCTTCCGTACAGTAAGAGCCCCAAGAAGCGAGTTCATTTTGAATGACTTTGCAGGCATGCATGTTTAATAAATTACTAGGTGTGAGACTGTAAAAAAATATCCCCTAATGTTTAAATTCATATACAATATAATCCATCATGACATCATGTGATTCAGTGTGATTATTTTCGTAGTGAATAATAAGGACCCTGGGCTCCACATGAATATCAATGTAGTGAAATTGTTACGTTTCAGGTAACACAAGTATGCCTTCCCATACCAATTCCCCCTCCCTCATTTTCCCAGGTTCTTTGTACAATATCAATTTCTGCTAGTTTCAGTGAAGCAAATACATTTTTCATTTGAAAATAGACAGCTTGAGTACTCGGTGGGTGGGTGGTCGTTAGTTCTCCCATGGGAGAGGACTTTTCAACTACGGCTCCTGAGTGTGATATTCAATATTAAATCAGTCATCAGAATGTACCCTGATGACTCTAAAGAGAATGGAGTACTCATTCATGAATCAATATCATATTATACTAAATATTTCCATTGCATAAGGCTGGCTTCACGTCTGGTAGCGTAGTGCCTAAGGCACTTGACTGCTAACCAGAGGGCTGGCAGTTCAAACCCACCATTCACTCCTTGGAAGGAAGGTTGGCAATCTACTTCCGTAGTGATACTGCCTCAGAAACCCAAGGAGGGGTCGCTATGAGTCGGGTCTGACTCGATGGCACATAACAACAACAACAATGGGAAATACATACTACCAATATAATCTGCTTTGAAAATTCAGTATTTTTGTATCTTCTACATTGGAATCAAGGTTAACTTGTGTTGAGAAAGAACTGAATTGTGCATATGTTTGAATTATCAGGCTCCATTTTTAACATGATGCACAATTTTTCCATTTGTCATTTTGAATTATTAAAAGATATTATGTCAGACTGTATCATTTTTTAAAATATTTAAGTGTTATATTATTCTTAGGAGCTCTGGTAGCATAGTGCCTAAGACACTTGACTGCTAACCAGAAGGCTGGCGGTTCAAACCCACCAGCCACTCCTTGGAAGGAAGGTTGGGCAATCTACTTCCATAGTGATGCTGCCTCGGCAACCCAAGGAGGAGTCGCTATGAGTCGGTGCCAACTCGACAGCACATAATAACAACAACAACATATTATTCTTAATTACAAAGCATACTGATCCTATAAAATCCCTCATGGAGCATTGGTGGTTCATTGATAGAGTCCCAGCCTTCCAGGCCAGAGACCCAAGTTGGATTTTCAGCCAGTGCACCTCTGGTGGTGTGGTGCCTAAGGTACTTGACTGCTAACTAGAAGGCTGGCAGTTCAAACCCACCAGCCACTCCTTGGAAGGAAGATTGGGCAATCTATTGCCGTAGAGGTTTACTGCCTCAGAAACCCAAGGAGAAACCCAAGGAGGGGTCACTATGAGTCGGGATCAACTAGACAGCGGTGAGTTTGGGTTTTCTTGGTTTGCACTTCACGTGCAGCTATGTCAGTGGAGGCCTTGTATGTTGTGTGATGCTGAACAAATTTCGGCGGGGCTTCCAGACTAGGACACACTAGTTAAAAAAAGTAAAAAAACGAGAAAAAAGCCTGGCAATCTATTTCCAAAAGTCAGCCCAGGAAAACCCTGTGCATCACGATGGTCCAATCTGCAACTGATGGTGGGGATGGCCCACCGCTGGCTGCATCTGGTTCCATTGTGCATGGAGTCACCGGGAGGCAGGAGCTGACTCCATGGCAGCTCACGACAATAGCGTAAAAGCCTTTGTGACACAAAATATGCTCAGTCCTTTAGAGATTTCAGAGCAAGAAAATGAGATCATTCCCGTGGCAGGAAAAGCGCAGGGACTGATGTAGTTATATTTCTCCATTTAAAACAAATCATTGTTGAATTTGGGATAGCTGCTATGACTTTACCATTTCTGTGGCTACTTTTGCCTAAACGTAAAAATCAGAGCTATCAACAAGCCTCAGGTTCACAGGGGTGGATCCTGGCAGAGACAGAACTGCACTTGAGATGTGTCTGCGTTTCTCACTTTCTAGGCATCCTAGAATCCTGTGGCCTGGCGGCGGAGCAGCGCACGTGACTTGCCTTACCCAAAGGAAGCCCTTTTT